ATAACTTCCACTAGATAACTTATCCACGAAGAAAAATAAAAAAATGAAAACTAAAAGTTCCAACACATTCCGCAAAATCATACTCCTAGATTCCGACCCCCACCTAATTTCAATGGCCTAGATTGATTCTTCCTTCTTAATAAAGTGCATCACAACTCTTTCCAGATTCACACACTCAAATCTGTAAACAATAAACCTCTCAAACACATATCACCTTCTCTGTGACTATAATTCTGCGATCTTTTTCAGGAATTTGATTATTTACGATGGCTGGTCATCATAAGGAGGAGGACAAAAATGAGGAATCGTTTATGGAGAAAATAGCTGACAAAATTCACGGCAATGACTCATCGTCATCAGACAATGAGGACAAGAAGAAATCATCTACTAAGGTGAAGGTTTATCGCCTCTTCGGTAGAGAGAAACCTGTTCATAAAGCCCTCGGCGGTGGCAAACGTATGTAAATAATATCTATAACGAGCTTTAGATTTTTGGGTTTTTGTTTATTTGTGAAAATAAGTTAATTTTGTGTGGAAGTTATTTATTTATTTTTTATTTTTATGTGGAACTAATTTTTGAATTCCCAAAATTTATTTTTCCTTGGGTTTGTGAATCATGCTAGTGCTACATCAAGGATTACATCGGTTCTACACTCTCACATGGGGGCGGGGTCAATTATTATTCGAGTGGACCCCACCCCAGGGGTGTAGACCTTGATGTATACATCTTGAAGTGCAAGTAGAAATATCCTTGTGAATTTTGTGGGTTTAAGGAAAAGTTTTAATTTTTCTTGTATTATCCCTAAAAATGTATTAATTTAATTTTTTTTAATAAATCGAATTCTTTTAATTTTATTCCTTTTGAGCTAAGAAACTGTTTCCTGTTGCTGGGTTTTGAGATGATCATGTTTGATTAAGCTCAAAAAGCTTTAATTTTTGTCAGTTTACGTACGAAAGTTATAAAGTAAGTATTAAATAAATAATTTTGTTCGTGAAATGTAGAAATAATTCAGGAATTATTTTGACCGAAGTTTTACTTTCAGGAAAGACTAAGAATTAGAATTTCCGAACTACTTGGTATTGATATTTTGGTTGTTTCCCATTTTTCTAGTGAGAATGCATTTTAAAATAGTTGATTGACGGAGAACTTAAAAAATAAGGAAAAAATTTAGATTTGCGCGTAATGTTATTCTATTAAAAAATGTGTGATTGTAAATAAGACAGAGAAAAATTTATTTTGGAAAAAATGGGATCAAACAAGGGCTGAATGTTACTTGTTATACTCAAATATTCTTTTCATGTGAGGGATTGTGACTGGATGAGAGTGTTGGATTAGGTTCTTCCTGCATTCGGGAAAGTAAGGCTTACTTTTAAGTTAAAGTTATCCCATTGGTGTCCGCTCTGATTTTCCTAAACTTTGACGCTAAAACCCTCCACGATTGCCTTTGAGCATTTGGATATAGATCTGGTTTAGTACTAAATAAAATTAGTGGAGTTGGTTAGTTTATAAAAAGGTCACGTCGTTTTCAGACAACTAGCAGAGTTAATGAGGTTATCTCGTGGAGAAAAATGAGTGGCTTTTACTAACTTTTTGGGGACATAAAGTTAAGCATTATTTATTTCCAGCTTGATGCACATGCTCATGGAAACCTAAGTCATTATGGTTAACATTCGATGGGTTTAGAAAAGCTTAGTCCATACCTAATCCGGTAAATTGACATTGATTTGATCCTCGTCCCCTTGGGTTACTAGGGAATTAAGGATATTCATATTCTAGAATCAAAGACTCCCAAGAATACTTAAGTCAAGGGCTGGGATCTTCTCACTGAGAAAGGCCGATCAACAAATCAACTTTTAGCATCACTGATGGGCTCGTTAAGCCCACCTTCCTTTATGTCGGCTCTAGCCAGACATTGTGAAAGGTGTTAATTAAAAGAGATAAGTAGGGACTTCCTTGAGTTCTATTTTTAACTTCCAGATTTTTTAGTGTGACAAATTACAATAAATAGCTATATGTGGAGAGAAATGAAAAGAATAAGCAACAAAATCTTATTACCTATATATTTGGGGTTGACTGTGTGAAACAAAGAAGACAGAAAAATAAATTGATTTTTAGATACTCGATTATGCAAATTATTGAGCTGAGTCGTCTCAATTGATGGTCAGCGGCTGATGTGTTCCTATGGAGAGACAAGAAGGTTTCAGCAGGAGTGCTAGGCGGGGCTACTGCTATATGGGTTCTATTTGATGTTCTCGAAAACAATTTGCTCACTTTAGTCTGTCATACTTTGATACTTGCTCTAGCAATACTGTTCCTGTGGTCAAATGCTTCCACCTTCATCAACAAGTAAGCCTGTCTGATTTGATTTCAAACTATATCTTTTGTAAATTACATACATGTATGAAATATACGTTCTGTCTGTTTTCTTTCCGGTTAGGTCCCCACCTCGTATCCCGGATGTAAATATCCCAGAGAAGCCTGTTTTGAAGTTTGCATCTGCTTTGAGGATCGAGATAAACCGTGTATTTTCGACTCTGAGGGAAATTGCATCAGGAAGGGATTTGAAGAAGTTTATCTCCGTAAGTAGTTTGTCTACTTTGAATTTGGGAGCTATAATTGACTTAATCATACCATATCATGTGCATGTTTGGTTAAGCTCATGAGATTTACTTATGCGTACTCTGATATTCTTTATGCTGTTAACATGAAGGTGATTGCGGGTTTGTGGGTTTTGTCGTTTATTGGGAGTTGCTGCGGTTTCTTGACGCTGGTGTACATAAGTAATAACTTTCACCTTAAGTGTTACTCGTGTAGATTCTACTTTATTTTTATGGTTCTAACATGGATGTTCATCGTTTTACTAAAACAGTTACAGTGTTGCTGTGCACCGTGCCTGTCTTGTATGAGAAATACGAGGACAAGGTGGACTCTCTTGCTGAGAAGGCAATGGCCGAGCTCAAGAAAATGTATGCAGTGTTGGATGATAAAGTTTTAAGTAAGATCCCGAGAGGACCATCAAAGGACCAAAAACGCGCTTAAGCACACGATTTAGGAGGTTCAAATTCGACTCATGTAATTGTCTCCTAGGATTACGGGTTTATCACCAAATGAATTTGGAATATATAGCTCATTATTTGTGTTCTTGTGGATTATGTGGTCATATATAGTATGGTTGTCAACTTGTTTTCTCGTATTTAATTCACCATATTCTTGCTACTAATCTCTCGTTGTTTTTCTACCCTTTCTTGTTGTAACGACATTAAAAATGATGTTCCTTCAAGTATTTAGGAATAAGCAAAATAGCGGTTGCTTTAACTAGTATCGTATTTGTTAGATTTATTAACTCTCATGCCGGAGTAGACACAACGGATAAGAGCCCCGCCATTTCTTTCAGGTTTTTGGCGTCTGCGCTGCCGCTAGTGGAAGAGACATTATATAATCCTCTCATTCTTTGCAATCCAAACGTAGGTTTTTCTTCCCCTACCAGACAACCTATGGATCCTAGCCACCTTCAGCTCCTTTTTCCAGCCAGTTTTAGGGTTTGGGGAGAAATGCATGAATATCAAGAATGAGATAACGCTAGAACCTGGTTTCTTCTCATAATAGCAGTTCAAAACTTCTTCGCAAAAGAATTCAGTTGTACAATTTCTTGTTCAAAAGCAAGTATGAATCGATAAGTTCGACCTCAACGAGTACATTGTGGAGTAAACTATAGCAATCCCAGATGAGGAGGTCAAGATACAAACAAGAAAACTAAGAATTGTACAATTACTCCACATAGCTAACCCAAATCCACCTCTATTCGAAGATTCAAGAAACTCGGCCAATCGGAAAAAAGGGTGCCATCGGATTATCAATTATGTTGTGCTTTCATTTTCGGCGTCTAGGGGCCAACTCCGGGTTGCCCTTTCTCATCATTGCTACAAACTCATCGTAGTTTATCTTTCCGTCCTGCCATAGAACAAACAATACATTATATACGATGAAGCAATACATGAGAAGCATTGTAGCTCAATAAAACTCAGAACCTCTCTCGTGGAGCATAATTTCCTAAAACGAGGGCTTGTATTCCTCTCTCAAATATTTCAAGAGAAAATTGAATAATGTATAACAAATCAAATATCAGTTTCTTGGAATTAAAGGGGAGAGACCGATAACTTATGTACTCGAACAAAATGCAACACTGGAGGGAAACAAAGTCATTTTGTAAATCGTGTCTGGCTACGCTTAAAAAGGTAAAAGTTACTTTGAAGTAACTCTGTTTCTAAGCTTGTTTAAATAAGTTACTTTTTCTTAATTTAAATAAAGAAGGTTATTTATTTAGAAAATAACTCAAAAGTGTAAGCCAAGAGCATAGGCAAGATCCGTAAATGTATCAAAAACAATTTAGAAGATAACGGATATCTAGCTAATACAAGTAAAGAAGAAAGAAGCCGCACATGATCCATGTCAACTTCTGCAATGATTTCCTTAATTGTTTGAGCATCCCCCATATTGTATTCCTTTAGAGCATGCTCCAATTCTTCGACCGTGATGTACCTAAGTTTCGAGGCAAGGATCAAAAAGCAACATAATATGCAATATATATAGGGTGGCATTTAGGAAAACCACATTTTTACCCGCTCTTATCCTTGTCGAAATACTCAAAGGCTTTGAACAAATGGTCTTCTCTATCCATTCGATTCAGGTGCATTGTAGCAGTTATAAATTCAATGTAATCGATTGTTCCATTTCCATCCACGTCAGCCTGGAAATAGCAAGAAGGTGTCATTAATTTAGTTGCATCAAAGATGATCATCATAAAGCTGAAATAGGTTGTCACTCTAAATCCATACGATGTAGCAACCAAGAATCTTAAATTTTATAAAATTATTTTTTTTCGAAAAACGTGTCGCTAAATTTCAAACCCTAACGTTAAAGTGAAAACGCGTTCGTCTAGCCATTATAAAATCATTTTTTATCCATTCAAATCAAATTCA